GACTGTATAGTATACTGTATGTTGTGAATGAGTCTTCCTCCAATCCTGATGTCACATTTTCCTTCATATAATCCAGTTTCTTGGACTATGTGCTCAGAATACACATTGACTAAGTATGGTAAAAGAATACAACTCTGGTACACATCTTTCCCGATTTTAAACCATTAAGTGTTCCCTTGTTCTGATCAAACAACTGTCTCTTGGTCTATGTACAGGTTCCTCATAAGCACAAGTAAGTGTTCTGGAATACGCATTCTCTACAATATTGCCCATAGCTCGTCGTGATCCACACATCTGAATGCCTTTGCATAGTCAATAAAGCACGGGTAAACATCTTTCTGATATTCTCTGCTTTCATCCAAGATCCATTTGATGTCAGCAATGATATTCCTCATTCCACATCCACATCCTCTTCTGAATCACGCTCGAACCTCTGAAAGTATTCGGTCAATGTGTGGTTGCAGCCGTTTTTATATTATCTGTAGTAAACCTTAACTCACTTGAATATCAATGGTATTGTTCAGTGATTTCCGATTTTGGTTGGGTCACCTCTCTTTGGAATGGGCACAAATATGGATCTCTTCCAAATCAGTTGTCTTCCAAATTTCTAAGCATAAAAGAGTAAGTGCCTCCAGTGCTACATCGGTTTGGGGGAAGATTTCAATTTGTATTCCATCTATTTCCAGTGCCTTGTTCTTTGCCAATTCCTTCAATGCACCTGGGACTTCTTCCTTCAGGATCACTGGCTCCAGATCACATGCACCTCTTGAAATGGTTGAACATCAACCATTCCTTTTTGGTACAGTGGTACTGTGTATTCCTTCCATCTTTTTTCACCGTGCTTTCCACATCGTTCAATATTTTGACCAAAGAATCCTTCAGTATTTCAAGTCAAGGCTTGAGTTTTATTTTCCGTTCTTTCAACATGAGAAATACTGAATGTTTGTCCATGTTCAATTTCTAATTCCAGATCTTTGCACGTTTCATTGTAATATTTGACATTGTCTTAATTGAGCTGCACTTTGGAATTTTCTGTTTAGCTTTTTTACCTCATTTCTTCCATTTGCTTTATCAAACTCTATGCTGGAGAGCAAATTTCAGAGTCTCTTCTGACATCCATTTTGGTCTTTTCCTTCTTTTTCGTCTTTTTAATGACCTTTTGTTTTCTTCCTGTATGA